CAGCCGCCGCCCGCCGAGAGCCGGCCGAGAGGGAAGCGTCTGAAGGAAATGCGAGCTTGTGATTTCGGAGCGCCCCAGCCATCAGCTCCCTCCGCACCGGCTTTGACTTTCGTTTAGCGGGGGGCCGCCTTGCCGTCTCGTCGTCTCCTCGGCATCTCGGGCTGCGGGACCAGATCATTTTGCACTTCGTTAAACGAGCAGCGCGGTCTTTCTTTTTCTTTTTTTTTTGGTTGTTTTTTTTTTTTTTCCAAGAGACAAAGGGTTTAAAAATGGTCCAGCCTGCTTAGCCCAATGATTTCTTGCGTGGACGCTCTATTTTTAATATTTTTTATTATTATTATTTTTGGACGGGGAAGGATTGAGTAGAAGAAATCCTTCAGTGAGGGAAACCCAGCGCTTTACTCCCTGTTGTGGAGAAGATCCGATTCCAGCTGCAGGCGGAGGACCGTGGTTCGTGTAGGTCTTTCAGTCTCGCTTTCGAAGCGCTAGATATTGAAGGGTCAGAGCAGAACTGCCTTCTCCCGAGCGGCTTGCCTGTCGTGGTTGTGGCTCAGAGATCGCCTCCCCCCTCCTCGCACCATTTCTGTTGGTGTTGTTTTTGTTTGGTTGGTTTGGCTTTTTTTTCCCTCCCCTTCCCCCCTTTTTTCTCCCCTTTTTAATTTTTTTATTATTATTATTTGATTTGATTTGGGTGAATTCCCTCCCTCCCTTCCTTAAACGAAAATACTAACTCTGAAGCCGAAATCCATGCCCCCTGCAATTCAGAAGAATCGGGTCTAATATGCCAGTGTCATCTTCGCCTTGCAGTAGTCGCGATGAAGGAAAAATCCAAGAACGCGGCAAAGACTAGACGGGAAAAAGAAAATGGAGAATTCTACGAACTGGCCAAACTCCTGCCGCTGCCCTCGGCCATCACCTCCCAGCTGGACAAGGCGTCCATCATCCGCCTCACCACCAGCTACCTGAAAATGCGAGCCGTCTTCCCCGAAGGTAACCACCCCGGGGCTCCCCGGGAGGGGCCGTCCGCCCCCCGCCCGGCCCGCACCGGAG